AACCTCCGGCTCCGACACAGCGTCCAACACAGACGACCGCCGCGTCGGACTCGTCGTTGAGCCCCTTCGAGCAACTTCGTTCCACCACCGCTTATCGTATGCATCATGTGAGAGCGAGGAACTGCGCCGACGTGCTGGAACGGGGTAGATGGGGTTGTGCAGTGGAAGTGGATCGAAAGAGCCTCTGAGAGATTGACGCCGGGAGTGTGTGCGTGAAGGACGCTCCGTTGATGTCAATGGCAGCGTATTTTCGTATATAGCAAAAGCATTGGGGCCTAGTGTTGTAGACCGCGAGTCGTGCGCCCGCCACTGAGCTAGTCCGGGCCATTTCCTCTTCTCAACATCTCCGCTGTTATACAGGGAGGTTGGTGTCGGGGCACTGGTCGACGAGGATGAAGACCCAGCAACAGAATCTTTCCTCACTACCACGGATTTCAGCTTCCAAAAACTCGCGGCTCTACTCCTCCTCGTATCTTGGCTACCATGCCCACATGAACTACACTGCCGGCTCCACGCCACTCTTCCCGTTACTGGGTTGACCTCAAAGTTTCCACTGCCCAATTGCGTTTGTGACTGGCGCTCTAGATCGGCTTGTCGTCTTTGTGCGAAGTGGAGGCGGAGGTACCATGCTATAGCTACGAGTATGAGGAAGAGGAGTATGGAGAGGGCGATGGCGGAGTTGCGATCGATGTTTGTGGAGGAGTTGGCGGGAGAAGATGCGGAGTCGGATTTGTGTTTACTTGCTATTGCACCACCGGCCATGGCGGCGACCGACATGTTGGGGTTGTTGAGTGGTTTTGCTGGGGTTGAGGGCTGGTGGAGGCATTGGTAGAGATGTGTACGGGGATTCGGCGGAAGTAGTGGTGTGTATGAGATGCAGATGGTCGCGTGTGCTGTGCTGTATTACATGTTGTGACTTCATAGTCTGATCCTGTACCAGAGTGGTGTTATCTAAGTACGCTTGGTGCGGTCGAGACCGAATGGACTGGTAGCGGACCAGTGTTGGAGATGAGGGGCAGCAGATGTCGCATTGAAAGCCACGAAGTGGGATCGCAGAGGAATGTCGTGTCGGTTGTTTCAGTCTTTGAGTTGTGTTTGCAGTGGATGAGATGTTGTGTTTCTTAACGCCGCCCAATGCCGATATCTAGTTCGTATTCGTACAGAGTGGTGTCCTTCGCTATGCAACAAATCGCCCGTCCAGTATCTTCATGTACACATAATCATACACCATTCATGCCCCTCATTCCCTCATTCCCGACCCTAGAAATCACACCTCCCATCCTTCCACCCCGTCCTCCACCTCTCCTCCCACTTCTTACAATCAAACTGCTCCTTCCCCAGCTTCTCATTCACAGCATTATGCGCCTCACACATCCACTCCCCAAATTCACTCCTCGAGCTGACTCTCGGTGTGTTCTTCTGCATCCACTTCTGGAAGTCTTCGGCGCACACCCAGCATGGGTATAATTTGCCAAAGGTGGTGAGGAAGGATTTGGTCTCGGATTGCAGTTGGGGAGAGGGGTTCGTGGGGTATGCGCCGGTTATGGAGTGGAGGAGGGTCCATGAGGAGCGGCCGAGGGCTTCGACGTCGGGTGGGCAGTCGGCGGGGAGGGATGGCGCAGTCGTGGTGGGAGCGGCGGCCGGTGTGCGCTTTTTGGGCATTTTGCCTGACATGGCCATGAGGGAGGTTAGGTCGTTGCAGGCTCGGCATCTGTAGTACAAACACACGCGTTAGTATGCATCTTGCTTGTGAAGTTGATTCACGTCCAGCGCATATGTTTCCCGGCGCGTTCGAGTGTTGACGGGACTTACGGCTTTCCATCAGGACCGAGTATAATGCCATTCGCCAGCTTCTTGTACCCAGGCCTTCCCGCGATATCCTGACCTTCATCCTTCTCATTTGGTTCTTGCGCCATCTTCTATTGCCTTGAAGACCTTGTGGTGGTTGCGATATGTCGCGGCGAGCAACTGGTGATTTCTAAGCTCTTCCATGATCGGACCTCGGCGGTATGCACGCGTTCCAGGGTCAACCATGTCGTGCGTCATCGCGCCTTCGCCGTTGACGGTGGTACATCTGCGGGTTATGCGTCGGCATCGGAGTTCGTAATTCTCGTGCATCCGTGACTTCGTAGCGCGATTGCAGACATGTTGTTGCTTTCGAATTGCTCTTGGCGCGTAGATAAGAGGGAGGTTGTGGACGCGCAGTGGACCTCGGGAGCGTGCAGACGATACGCATTTGAACATTACAAACGCATCCTCCACATCCCGGCTATCACTGTCTGATCATGGATGTACCGGTGGCTGCGAATGTACTAGGAACGCTGGGAGCAGTACGTATTCTTCATGATCTCGAACGTAACCGTGCTGACCAGAAAAGGTGTGTTGGTCCATTCAGGTACCTACGTCTCCAACAACCATTATCGAGGAGCACAGCTAAGAGTGTGGTCTAGCTTATCCCACAAATCGTCATCAACTATCGCAGGCACAATGCTACTGGACTCCAGCCGACCATGATGATGCTGTGGGCATGGGCTGGGGTTCCTTTGGGCGTTTATAACATTGCTGAAGACTACAACATTGCTCTGCGCATACAGCCTCAGATTCTTACCGTACTGAGCCTGGTGACGTGGATCCAGTGTTATTACTATGAGAAGGTAAGTGGTTTCATCAACGGCTCGAGTGTGAATACGACAGCTAACATTCCAAAGAGTTGGTCGGTTCTTCGCTCGCTCGCAGTTGTGGTCCCTGTGGCGTGCCTCATGGGCGGTATTCAAGCTGGTCTCATCTTCGCCATTCAGCATGCCAAGTCAGAGGGACTGCATTGGCCCAGTATCCTCATGGCTGTTGCTTCAGCCGCTCTGCTTGCTGCTGGTGTCCTGAGACATTACGTGGATGTCTACGTTCACCGGACCGTTCGTGGCATATCCTTCATCTTTGTCGGTATCGATGCCCTGGGAGATCTCTTCTCCTTGGTGTCAGTCGTCTTCCAACCTAAGCTTGACGTCTTGGGTCTGGTCGTTTACGGCTCCGAACTGGTGCTGTGGATCGGCATCTTCCTGTGCGGAGCGTATTACAATCTCCCCTCGTGGTACGCTGCAAAGAAGGAGACGGAGAGGACCAACGAGGGCTTAGATGAGCCGAACAGTGGGCCGGCGGGCACGTCTGGCATCGCACTTCACGATCTGCCCTCCAGCACTTCCGTGTTCAGGACGCCATCGGGCGAAATTGAAGCGATCCGACAGCGCGGTATGGGCTCAATACGTGTTGCTGGTCTGGAACATATACCGCGGAGGGTGTAGGTGAAGCGCAAATGCAGTCAACTTTCAGCACATCACTTTGAATTGCGCATTTCACCCCACAAACCGTTTGCACCCCCAGCATCTTTTTCGTACAGAGGTCCAGGCCCTGCGGCTACCTCCGATGCTGTGTTTGCCCGTGACGCGTTCGTTGCTTCCACCCGTGGACGCTCTTGAACTTGGGCAGGCGCACGCACCTTCTCCACAATCACCATCCGCACTCCCCACACTCAGACCGGACAACTACCAGCGACTAAATTCACGCTCGACCTCCTGCATCACAGAACATCAACCGCGTCACTATAATAACCCGGCGCCAGTAGCTGATACAAGTAAGCTAACCTGCACTCCCGCCGACTCCATCACCGTCCGCGACCAGAAGTCTGCTTCACCTGGCTCGGCCTATCACAGCGCTGGAATATCTCAGCAATACTAACGAGGTCAAATAGCCAGGAATACTCGCAAGCCAGCTCTCAACTCCAACAGCATCATGGCTTCCACCACTACCACTACGACCAAGGTCACTTCGCTGGACTCTCAGTCCGATGGCCCGTCGGTGCCGAACCCTACACCAGCCACTGAGTCTGTAGGCAGTCCCTACGAGCCCGTCGACCCTCCTCCGGAGATGGACTATACTGCCGTCGCCAGGATTCTAGGCCCTATCCAAGAGTCGCTCAACGAGGCCGCCCTGGAGGCCGCCTACCCATCGCCACCCATCAACACACCCATCATCGGTTCTCCAGCTCCGTCGGTTTCATATCGCTTCCCTGTGACACGCGGTCGCGGCTTCAGTGTGGTTGGCGATAGACTCGCGCAGCTGAAGATCAATGACCGCAAGCTTCGTCACCGCGAGGGAGATGTGGGCTCCAGCAACTACTCACCAGAGGCATCCATCAACGAGGACGAAGAAGTCGATATTGCGAGCATATCCGAGGTGTTGAGCGACGGCGGTAGGGACAAGGAAGACCCAGGACAAGCTCGTAAGACCCTTGACCCCATCGATGTGACTGAGGGCTCAGTTCCTATCGCTTTAGGTTCCCCTGCCGTCAACCCGCGCATCGTAGAGTACCTAACCTTCACCTCCGACGACTTGCCTACGAACTCGGTTGCACCTTGCTTCCCCTCCACACTCATGAAGACAAGCACCGCATCGATTAAGACCATCGTTGGCGGCAGCGACGGCGCTAGCTTGAAGAGCGATGGCGTCACTGAGAAGAGCAACTGGGCTGAGGAAATCGAAGACATGGTCGACCGTACATGCCTACGTCTCGAGCAGCTGGCCGACGATGAGTGGAAGCGTGATGGCAGCAAGAGCTTCGCCGATTACTACGTCGCTCGCCTCGAGCGTCTGCTCAGCAGCGCTAAGCGCTCCGTACCCGTCAGCATCCAGAAGAACAAGGAGGCCCAAGAGTAAAAGGATAAGAATGGTGTGCCAAAGAAGCACGCATTCGTATGGAAATGGCGCAGGGAAAGGTGACGGCGTTCACGGTACGGGTAATGCTTTGCTTGTCTTCACGGTTAATGGTTCAAAAGTTGGACACGTGCTGTCATGGTGTTCTATACCCATAATGTCTTTTATTAACGATTCACGGGTCTATGATAATGACTCCACGATGTCAGGTTCAAGTAGTGGGCCTGAATTAGCAGTAATAATAACGTGTCTTTCCTACACATCTTGAATCTACTGTGCACATGCCATTATATCTATGTCAAGCGCGAGTACGATGCGTTCCTCACACCAAGTCCTTGCAGGATAGCAACGACACCCAGCGTGATAGCCGTAGGTCTATCATTGCTCTTCCAGTAAGCCGCGCCCGCTGCTGCCAACAAGGTCGTCAGGACACCCGCGATGCTCTTGTCGTACACATCGTAGATACCCGTGACCGACCACTTGTAGTTGAGGATGCCTATCGTAACGTCAATCGCGACACATCCAACAACGACCTTTGCCTGCAGACTTACTCATAATAACGAAGAACCCGCTGCCCTCGTACCAACCGATCTTACTCGCGCCGCGTAGCATGAGTGGCAGTGTGTTCATCGTCGGATGTTTGAACTGGTCCAGACCCTTCAGCTACAACACCATGTCAGCACACTGCCACATCTATCGAACTATATGATCTATTACCGTATGTCCAATCGCCAAAATGGCGTACGCAGCTGAAGAAGCCTGCAGCAGGGGGTGCGATTGCGAGGTTATCGACGTCATGGTGGCGGATGCTGCTTCCAGAATTGCCTTAAATCCGGTGATGGGTATGAGAGAGGTTACAAATTGGCAAACGGAGGAAAAGAGGACGGTTCTTTGGCGTTTGCAGAGACGCGCATGTCACGATCGCGTCGTTGTGATCCTTTTGGCTGGGACCGAGGTTAGTGTGGATTGGGAACGGTTTCCCCACTTTTTGCGGGTCCGCCGGGAGGTTGGTGTACGCAGGTCGCTGTCGACGCGACTTTTCAAGAAGACGTTGGCTGCCACTGCGCACAGGGCTGGCTTCGACGGGCAGGTCGCTGGTGTTGCGACAACTCATTGGACGGATGCTTTATCTCTTTTGCAGTGCCTATGATGCGGAATCACCGTTTTAGACGAGATCTGTCGCGTGACCGGTGGGATATCTGCCCAGGTGGGCAAGTTTCATTCTTGGACCTCGCTGTGAGCCAGAACCTATCACTACAGCTCACGATTGCGCTGACTTTCTCACTAGCTGCCTTCCAAGGTTGATCACGAACCAGAGCATCGCATCGACTAGGAAAGGGCTTGCATTGCGTCTAATACGCTGGATGTATCTGATTCGCAGATGTGCACTGCCCCGCAACCCCAACCATCACCTTAAGCCCACCCACATTCATATCCTCCTCCAGCCGCGCCTCGACAGCCGCTCATGACTCCATTACCCCATTATTCCATTCCTTCAACCCACAGTCAACCTTCCATCTCATCGTTTACCAAATTCCTTCGTTTTTCCTGAATCGAAACAATCGATTGGCCAGCATGATCTTTGTGGCCCAATGAAGTGCGACAGCACCGATACCCAAGGTTCTATTCACGTGGATATTGTCATAGGTCTATCTAATGGATCTGATACAATCGACTCCAACACATCCGGCCCTAAAAACCATGGGTTCTTTTCGGTGTGAAGTAGTGCCGGGTAGAGAATGGGCTTGTCCTCCTGGTGGCGACCAAGCTCAACCGACGTGCTTCGGACTTAGTCAACTTCGGATACCCGAGCGCTCAGAAAACGATAGACTTTGTTCAACTTGTACGAGCCTCGGACACCTAAACAGTAGGCACTGGGAAGGCATCAACGACTTCCGTGAGGTCATTGTGCAGCATCACCACTCGTTCAATGCATTGCTCAAGAGCGCACGTGAAGGTTGCCATCTTTGCGGATTACTGTTGATAGCGTGGGAGGAGAAATGTCAGTGGGAAAAAGAGTACGGCGATGAATGGGTTGGTAAGGCAGGCCTGGGTTCGGCTTCATTGAATGACGGCGTCAGACTCAAATTCCAGAGAAAGAGAATGGAAAACGAACAGAGAGGTCTTGTATTTGATGAGGTACAGATTACCATACTGTGTGGGGACTTGCTGTGTGGCATGGGCGGGCGACTGATCTGTCAAGCTATGAATAGTGAGTATCCCTGAATCCCACATTGTCCCCCATCCTTCACGTTAATCAATGAAACAGCCAGTCTTCGTGTTCTTTCCGAACAGTGCCTTCCATCTGGGAGCGACACTAATACCGGCTCATTGGCGAGTTTGTCCAGGATTAAGGCCTGGCTGGAAATCTGCAAATCTTCGCATCCAGCGTGTGCCCAGACCGATTCTCATCCACCGCCCTTACCAACCAGAGTAATCGCAGTAGGACAGAAGGGATCTAGTAGATGCTATCTAGTGTCTGGAAATGAAAGCAGTGGTTACTACGCTACTCTAAGCCACTGCTGGGGAGATCCCCACAATCGACCATTGTCGACGACCGATCAGACCCTTCCTTGTCGGCGGCGAGGGATCGAAGATGAGACACTGCCAAAAACTTTCCGGCACGCTGTTCAGATCTGCAGGGAGTTGGGCATAGAATATATTTGGATCGACTCCCTGTGTATCATCCAAGGGCAAGAAACGCAAGAAGATTGGGCAAAGGAAGCACCGCGCATGGGATCCGTATACGGAAATTCAATCTTGAACATTTCCGCAGCAGCAGCAGCAGATTCCACGCAAGGATGTTTCAAAGAGCGCCTAGGTCTGATCTTTTGGCCTTGTCCAACTGTGCTATTCGGACGGGAATGCTACCTATTCCGATATCCGATGAACAGAGAAGAAATGTGGGGTGTACCAGGAGACGCTGAATGGGACGTGTCAAACGTCTTAGCCCGGAGAGCCTGGGTTCTCCAGGAGCAGATCTTGTCTCGCCGCTCAATTATATTCTCGAAAGACCTTCTCATCTGGCGTTGCCCGACACTATCGACCAATGAGAAGTACCCATTGGGAATACCACACGCTCCAAATGTATGGCTTGACAGTCATCGTTTTCTCCAATGCGTAGTACATGGTATAACTTCACTCATACCGAAAGAATCAATGGTCGACATCTATACCTGCTGGTACCGAATAGTAGAAGAGTTTACATCTCGAAATCTCACATACGAGGAAGATAGGCTACCTGCAATAGCTGGCATTGCGAAGAAATTTGGAAGGGCAGTAAATGACAGCTACCACGCAGGGTTGTGGAGGCACGATATGATCATCGGTCTCCTATGGCGTGCAGCAAGGGATGCTGGCACATGCACAACTAGATCAGCTAGAGTGCCGTCATGGTCATGGGCCTCGATCAATGGTGGTGTGACCTACTCACCTCTGTTGATGGGTGGCGCCTACACGGCTCGCATTCACATGTCTCCACTGGTCGATATTCTTGATGTGTCGGACCCAACAACCTCCGAAGATCATCCAAACAGAGTCAAACTGGGACAATCGTTGAGCTTGTCTGGCGTCATCTGGGAAGTGACGCGAGTCGAGAACGAAGAATCCCGGCTAGCTCTCGTCGACAACGGCCTCCCTGTCGCGCATAGTATTCGAGATTTCTTCTCGGACTTCCGTGGTTTCAACAGGCCAGATCGAGAATTCTTGGTCTGTCTACCAGCATGCGTAGACCATGGTTGGCATCCAGGTATTCAAGAGAGCGGCGAATTGCGGAAAGCCCTTTGGAGAAGATCACTGGAGACAGGAATAGATGAATACGAGCAGTTCAACGTGATCTACTGTTGGATCCTTGAGGCTATCGAAGGAAATCAAGGCACCTACAGTCGAGTAGGCCTATGTAGATTGGGATACCATAAGACAATTGAGGTTAGCAAGATGGCCCTGTTTGGAGAACGTAGGTCCATTACTATCATTTGAATATCTTGTACTTTGCATATATATCTACATGCGGCGCCACCAAGAACCTTTTTTCTCTTCCTAATTTTGTAGGTCTCAGAGAACGGTGAGAATTCTGACGCGCGACAAACAGGTGGCGAAGCTGTCGAAAGAGACGAGATCCGTCATCCATGACTAGCTTACCCCAATGGAAGGGTTGATCATGGCTGATTCGAACCAAGTACTCCACACGTTGTGGTGGTGGCTTCCACTAACACAAGTTTCAGGCGGTAGCACCCCAAGACAGAGGGCTCCTTTGAGCTTACCCAAGTAAGTCTGCTCGCAATAACTCAGTAGTCAACTCCATCACTGCAATGCCCGCACCACCCACAATCTGTATCGCAAAGTATCCAGTCCTGACCATCGTCGTCCCAGACGGGTTCAGTGGAAGTGGAGATCATTCTCGATGAGCGGGATTGCGCTTGGAAAGATGAAGCCTCGGATACACGTCAGAGTCACAGATACGGGATAGATGAAGCGTGGCTACCTCATCAGAAAGAAAACAACACAGTCTACCGCGTAGGAACGTAGGTACAATTTGACTCTTCGAAATCACCTCAATGGCTGCTTCTCACGATCGCAATCATCCTCGTTCACTTTGATAATTGCTTCATGGTGGCATGTTGTGTGTTATCTCTATTGGCTGTTGCGAGTACATCGCACTCCCTCTCATCATTCGAATTTGTGCTTGGGTATCATATGTCACTCCTTCTTCCAGAATCCACCTCATCATTGGCCGCCGTTCGGGTCATCTGCAAAGCCTTGCAACCTGTGCTATCCCCCTTCACCCAACTTCTCTCACTTCCTTACATCCTCTTCGTTCCCAGTCTTGGTACTCTTCTCAGTGCCCTTTCCTTCCTTCACTCCATCATCAACAACGCCATCATACTGCCTTGCAGCTGGCAAAGCCGGAAGAATGCCGCTCGCAATGGCATCGAGGTCTGATGGCATGCAGGTGGCTGGCGAAGCATACGGGCCCGTAGTGTCTTGCTCAACACTCAGCTTATCAACCTTTTGTTCGGCCCAGGCGATAGCGCTATCGACGGCGGTTTTGACGGTTTCAACGACGTCTGAGACGATGGTTGTGGCGGTCGGGCTGGCTTCGGTGGTGCCGTCTGTGCTGATCGTGCTGCTATCCGACGCTGATCTTGGGGATGTGGACGAGGACTTCGTGGTATCTTGGTCTTGGTGGGAAGAGGTCTTACAGGCGTCAGTATGTGTTGGGTATAGGGTGAACTTGAGAGAAACATACTCGTTGCCTAGCTGGCGACTTCTCCTCCGTGGCTTGAGCTGTAACAGCTTCGAGTGCTTTCGGCCTCATGGTTTGTGTGGTGAGAGCGTCGAGTGCTTCCGGCTTCATGCTTTGGGTCGTACAAAGAAGCTACCCTTGCAGATTGGCTTTTGTGTTACTTAGTCGATCGCGCGGTCCACCGAGGTGTGTCAATGTAGGTTGCTTGTGCATGCGGTCGAATGCCAGCAGGCGGCAATCTCCGCAGGTCCTTCTCGAAGTGTCTTGTTTGTTTGTTTGCCAATTTTGGACTTTACCGCTCTTTCCTATTCGATATGACGATGCGTTTGTACCCGCGCAACAGGAAGCGACCACCCCACGAAAACGACTCGGATGAAGACGACCG